ATGTCCCGGTGCCATCCCGGGCTCCCCCGCCCCGTCCCGCCCGGCTCCATCCGCCGGGAGCGGCCCCGCCCCGGGAAGCGCTGCAGGAACGGGCGGGCACCGAGCGGAGCCGCAGGTACCGGGGGACACGGGGGGATCCGGACACGGGGGGGACACGGGGGGACACGGCCCCGCTCCCTGCCCCCCGAACAGCCTCCCTTCCCAGCCAGCCCGGCCCTGAATCTGCTTCTGCCCTGCGCAAGGGGAGGGCTGCGATTAACGCAGTGAAGAGCCCGGGAATGTGCGCTGATACCGAAACGCGCGGCTGCTTCTCATGTTCTAATGTTCGCCGTGTGTTTTATAGGTCAATTCCAGCACCAGAGCCGAAGGAAAGAGGATGGAAGCCGGAAATGCTGCCAAGGAAAGAGTCCTCATTACTGGAGGAGGGGGTTATTTTGGCTTCCGGTTAGTGCATTAAATTGTAATTGCGTACAGGAATAAATGTGAGAGATCGCTGCTGGGGAGGCAGCAAAATCCATTTGAGCCTGAGACATCTGATCCAGTTCATCCCAGTTTCTGGTTCAGCCGGGGTCTCAGTTTTAAACAAACCCTGTTGCTCTGTTTCCAGAGGCTGTAAGTAACACTGTTATCCTGTTTCCAAAATTCAGCCATCAGGTGCCTCGCAGATATTTATTTACCTACGTGGTCACCTCTATAGGGGGGTTAGCACCATCATCAGCCTGCTCTGAAGGACAAGCCTTCACTTGAACACACATTTTTCTTTTGGCCTGCACGTAGTGACACATGTGTTTAGCTCTGTAGGTAATGAACTCCGGCTGAACTCTCAAGAATGTATGATTTTTGTGAACAGTGATGGTTTAGGATTAGAGTTGTTAATAAGGTGCATAGCTCAGTGAAATCCATTTTCCCTTACTGTAGCTGGCTCTGCAGGCCATGTAAAGAAAAAATCCTATTTTGAGCCCCAGACTATAACTGCTTAGAAAAKGGAGAGAGATCACAGCCAGGACCAGAAAATAAAGTAAATGTCATGTCAGGGGAAGTAAAAAAACAACCCAGAAGATGCCTCTGGCTTCTATTTGGCTTTTCCCTCCACTGTCATCCCYTTAAAGTACAGCAGACATACAACAGTTGTAGGAAAGGGGGAAAAAAACACCAGAGTTATACTTTGTGTCAATACCTGTGACTTGGAGTAAAACCTAGATATGTCGCAAAGTATTCTCATGGCAGCTTAGAAGCATCTCTCCCATTCTTTTCCATAAATTTCAAACACAGTGGCAAAGACCAACCTRTTGTTCTGACAGAATTGGGATGGCACAAAGCAATAAGATGAAGCCAGTAAGGCTATTTAAGAAAAAAAAAATGGTAGTAGTTTCACATCTGAAGTGTTTGTTGTTGCTGATCTGAGGGGGACAGAACTCCAGTTACTTCTCTTCAGAATTTTAATTTACAGCAGTTTTGTTCCTTTTTTCCATTTTTTCCTCCAAGTATTGATGGAGTATGAAAAATAAGTTCAGCACCTAAACTTTCACAGCTGAATCTTCTGAATCTTCCTCGTAGAAGGCTGAGTATTTAAAAGACTCCCATCAAAAAAATTAACAGCATGAAAAGAGTTAATAGCCTTCTCTCCCTTCCAGGTGAAATGTTTCATGCACCATGGTGCTGTAGCCTAACATACGGTTTCTGTCATGTTTTAGTTTAGGTTGTGCCATATATCAAAAGGGAGTCGAYGTGATTCTCTTTGATGTCGTGAAGCCACTTCAAGCTGTGCCAGAGGGAATAAAGTTCATGCAGGGGGATATCTGCTGCCTGTCTGAAGTGGAAGAAGCTCTCAGAGATGTAATCTGCGTATTCCATATCGCCTCCTATGGCATGTCTGGCAGGGAGCAGCTGAACCGAAAACTCATAGAAGATGTTAATGTGAAAGGAACAGAAAATGTCATCCAGGCCTGCAAGAGCAGGGGAGTGCCAAGTCTGGTTTATACAAGTACCTACAACGTGATATTTGGGGGCCAGATTATAGAAAATGGGGAYGAGTCTCTGCCTTACCTCCCTCTGCACCTTCACCCTGACCACTACTCCCGAACGAAATCCTTGGCTGAAATGAAGGTGCTGGAGGCAAACGGCGCCGAGCTTGGAAACGGGAAAGGCGTCCTGAGGACCTGTGCCCTGCGCCCCGCGGGGATCTACGGCCCTGGAGAGCAGAGACACCTTCCCAGGATCGTCAGCTACATCGAGAGGGGACTGTTCCAGTTTGTCTATGGAGACCCCCTGAGCCTGGTCGAGTTTGTACATGTGGATAACCTGGTCCAGGCTCACATCCTCGCCTCCGAGGCTCTCCGAGCCAGCAAGCAGCACATTGCTGCAGGCCAGGCCTATTTCATTTCTGATGGTAGGCCAGTCAATAACTTTGAATTTTTCCGACCGCTGGTGGAAGGTTTGGGTTACAAGTTCCCAACCCKGCGCCTTCCCCTCTCCCTTGTCTATTTTTTTGCATTCCTTACTGAAATGGTTCATTTTCTCGTAGGGCGTGTTTATAACTTCCAGCCCCTCCTCACACGCACGGAGGTTTACAAAACTGGTGTCACGCATTATTTCAGCATGGAGAAGGCCAGGAAGGAGCTGGGCTATGAGCCCCAGCAGTACAGCCTGGATGAAGTGGTGCAGTGGTTTAGATCCCAGGGATGTGGACCAAAGCCAAGAAATTATACTGTGATGCATCTGGTTAGGGATGGAGGACTGCTTTTGGTGCTGATTGCTGTGCTSGTCTCATGGTTTCCATCTGCAGCTACATTTTCACTCTGAAAGATGAAATGCTGAGGACAGAATTTCGTTATGTTTTCTGCTTACTGTTGGTTTTGACAGATAATAAAAGATTTTAAAAAATAAACGTTTGTGTGATTCAGGTAAATGACAGTTTTATCCCCAAGGAATGGAACCRGTGAGTAAAAAGGTGTAATTTTTATATATAGTTTCTCTTCAAAGTACAATTGATCAGATCCCTAACAAGATAAAGCTCAGTATTACTGCAAACTGCATTTTATTCTCAGGTACAACAGCACAAAACACTGAATKGAACAAATGTCCTTAGGCTGACACTTCCTCCCTGATGGGATTATACTCTTGATCCCTGCCCTTTATTCCTAAAGAGCTCATGCTGTGTGATCCAGAGGACAATAAACTTATTCTTTGATCACATTCCAAACCCCAGTTCTGCTTCCCMGCTTGGATGTATATATGCCTAACCACGATTAACTGATAAACTGCTAGACAGTAAAAAATGGGTTTTTTACACAAATACATTCTGGTATGGTTTCCTGAATTAACTCTGTGATATCTAATGACATTTCTGGAAAATGCACCGTGGTTAATCTAAATTACAGCAAAGTGCTTGAAGCGCCACAGATTTGTAGATTTTTCTAACAGTAAAATAGGCCTGCTTAAAATGAATGAGCCAGCTGAAGTGCAGTCATAAATAAAACCTATGATTTTCCCTAGCATTATTGAATGGTTAAACGAATAATTCATCAAAGAGATTTGGTAAATGATTGCATTCACATTCCACTATTTATAAAACATTTTTAGTCTTTAATAATATTTTTTAAAACCTGATATCCTCTGAATAGAATTTCAGCTTTGTAACAGGAAGATAAAGTCTTGCTCCAAGGAAACTCTTAATTTTGTGGAATTTTAAGAATTCCAGTTAAGTACAGGTCACTGCTGTCCTAAGTAACTCCCTCTGTCATTTTAATACAGAAACTGAGTAACTTYACCTCAAATGCTAAAAACAAAGATGTTTTCCCTTAACTCATCAGTATTAGAGTTTCTGTACCACATGATAAAAGCAGAATCCTTCAAGAATGTAAAACTTCTCTTTGGTCTTTCCATTTTAATATCTAAAGCTACACCAATCTTAAATTAATTGTAACTTCCATTATTTCAGTTCTGTTAAACTGCTGCAATTGAAATGGGGAAGTGAAGAGGAAGAAGCAGACAGCAGTTCCACTGCACTGTTAGAGGATTCTCAGAAAACAAGAGGGCCTAAGTAGAGGAACAAAGCKAGAACTCCACTGCCATCCCTGCTTAGAAAATGGAGATCTTTGTACTTCATGGTRACTGAAGACAGCATTATGACTTTAGAGTTCATTTCCTGAGAAGTTTACCTTAAAAAAAATGCCCAACCCACACTATTAATAACTTTTTGTATTTTTATGCTTGAGATCTGACTTTTCTCCTTCATTTCCCTACCAGTAAGTACACCATGAAAGAAACTAAATTTAATACTTAGCTTAAGGAACAACTCAAGAGAGAACTCACTTTTTTTTTTCCTCTCTAACAGCAATAAGCTGTTTGTGTAGCAGGAGTGTTGCACTCTGTTATAAAGAGCTTATGTGCCTCCAACTGAGCGCTGRTGGCACAAGGGCCACTCTCCAGGAGCCATTAATATACACCATCATCTGCAGAAAGAAGAAACCTTCTTTTTAATAWAACAGAAAAAAGACAGTCATGACCTCATGAAAGCACCAGGCCGATCCTCTCTTTCCAACAGCTCTGTTTTTTCAAGTAGAAACCACTTTGTTCTTTTCCCCTTTAAGTTCTCTGGCTTTGACACAATGTTATCACAAAGAGATTAAAAAATTTTAATGCCAGGAGARGACAAAACCAAAGTGCAGAAGAAATTGCACAAGCCTGTTGCACAGAAACAGCGTCAGTATTCCATGCCAAGTCTTGTAAAAAAATTGTTTTTAAGATAGGGAACTGATCTCCTGTGCCCCAAAGGAATTTCCTCTGCTATTTGTAATCTTTCAGCAAAACTCAGCTACTGCTTTTTATTGTTATCTCAACATGGGGTCAGTGAAAAAAAAAACATAGAAGGGTCCTTAAGCCATGAATCCTAAATCCAGGCAACASCAGCTGAGGTTCAAGCCCTGGACAGCTTTTGAGGTACAGAGCAGCAGCAGCTCCTGAGAAGACAAAAACAGCCCAACAGAACCCCAAATTCCAGAACTGGTGCAGAGGCTGAGCTCAACAYGTGAACCTTTTCATCTGCCTGGGGTCAAGGACAGAACTCACTGAGGACAGAGCAGGAGGCACTGTGCCATCCCAGAGACCCATGACTCTGCTCCAGCCTGGGGGACTAAATTTGGGGACACACCCCAGAGCCATCACCAGTGATTGTGGGTTCATTAATTCCCTGTCAATTAACTCCATCTATTAAAAAAAAGATCCTGACCGCAGCAGAGGTGAAGGATACACTTACTCTTTCCAAAAGAAATCTGTGGCTTAAGGAGATGCTCTGAAAATTACACCCCTGAAAAGACAGTCACAGCTGCTCTATTTGAAGTATTTTACAATGARAATTCTCTCTCCTCCTTCCTGTTTTTTTGTTATTACTCCTCCTGCATGAATAGCTGGATAAATTAGGGTAATTAATTCAAGTGTTGTRCCTCTTTTCAAATTTTAATTTATTACCTGTTTTCCTATTGAAAAACTGAACTACCAGAAATTCATCGAAAAATTGAAAAAGCAGAATGAAAATATAGCTCAGATTTAATTTTTCATARTCCTCAAAATTACTGAGCATTTGATAGGCACCTCACTATAAAGAATATGCTGATATTGAAAGTGAATAGTTTAAGAATACTAGGTCAGTTGTTAAACCTCACAGACAMAGCATGTCAAGGTACAAATTCATCAGATATACATGAACAACTTATATCTTTAATGTGTATTTAAATATATTCATTTTAGATTCTTAATCAAGTATTTTATGGGGCCTTCACTTAAGGGACCCAAYCAAAATGTCCCTTGGTTTCTATTTATTACTGATTTCCACATMATTTCCAAAACATAGTGGCATATCTAATAATCAACTATGTGATCTTCAGAGAAATTTGCAAATACTGTGAAAGATCTGGGGGTTAAACTGCAATTCAGGAATACACAAGTGTTGGGAGAATTCCTGCTTTATTTTAGTCAAGCTCATGATTCCCTGTTTTGCTGGGGTAACAACTAACAATGTAGAGTAACAATGAATTAAACTGCTTTAAATTTAATTTAAATTCTTTCAAAAGTAATAGYTTGGCATGTTTATAAATACTGTTATAGATCAGAAGATGAATTTGTCTCTGAACTGATTCTGAAGGTTGATTTTCATTATATTTAACTTCTGTTTCTCATGTTATAAATGGAATTTCAGTCTGGAACAAAGCCAGCTAGTTGGACTGCACTTTAAAATGCTGACACACGACTACAGCASAATTCAAACACTGCACTTCAGCTTCCACATTCAGATTATTCCAACTGGTTTGGASAATTCAAAGATAATGGCTGATACACAGCTCACACCATCTCACCATCTCTGAGGTTACAGAACTGCAAAACTAACAAAATGCTTTCAACAGAGAAATACATAGATATGTTGGGATGGGAAAAAAGTGAGAAAATAGGCAACAAAATACCTAAACATAGCAGCTTTTTGGACTGCAGAACTCATGCATACCAATGCTCACAAATGCAAGAATGATAAAGGCCCTTTGGCCTATTTCATGACCTTCCAGAAGAATTAGGCTGCAGACACCTTATACTGATTCATGTTCAAGAAGCATGTAATTTTGATCAAAAGATGAGAAAAATTTTGTTCCTGATGCCCAACAATTTAAAAAATCATCACATAAAGACAGAGTGCTTTTACCTAACAGTTCTCCTCATGCAACCTCACAGTCAGAAAGTATTCTGATAACATTTTTTGGTAAACATCAAGATTASTGTTCTTCCAAACAACCACAAACTTAATCTTTGTCTTGCTCATACTTTGCTGTCCAAGTTCATACAAACCTCATTTCTCACCAGGGCTGGAGTTTGGATCTGCCTCTCACTGAGAAAGGTCGGTTTGGAGTCACAAGTTAAACTCGATCTTTGACCTTTTCCTCCTGCCTCGTGTGTTTGGAGCCAGAGAAAGTGCAATGATAACCATGTCTACTGAAACAATCATTAAGTCAGTTCATCTTAAAAACACAGAAATGCCCTTCTTCCAACCTCTAGCAGAGCACACCATCACACACCAACAGACAACTTTTCAACAAGAACTCACTGCCTCAAATGACTGGCAAAAGTAATGAAATTCAACAAGCAGTGCTTAAACAAACATCTGGCATCATTCACATCAACGTGAGATATCAAAAATTATTTATTAAAATAAGTTATTCCAATGATTTAAAACAATTTCTRTAAGAATATAACAATTTGACAATTGTTAAGTTCAAAAATATATAAATGTTTTTCCTCCTRGATTAAAAAATTAGCGCACACATGCAAACCTACTTTCATACTCAAACAGTTGCAACTGTGAAAAAGTTGCTACAGAATCTGCCCCAAGGAAGGGCTGAGAGGTGAGGTYTTGGAGGGAGAACATGGAATACAAGAACCAAGGGAAGAGTTAGAACATAGCCTTGCCCACCASTTGCAAGTCAGCAGAAGAGTCACATCAGTATTTTCATTCTGCACACAGTGTAATGCCATAGTCTGGGCAAAAGTCTTACTGTAAAATAAAATGTGTTTTCATAAATTCCGAAGGAGTGCCTCTTACAACTTSTGACATCGTGCATGTGTGGACAAGGTGCACAGGATTTTTCAAGAGACTACAAAATGTGCTAATTCTTAAACATTTGCACAAGAGCAGCATGAGGGACTCACTCCTGTGTCCATCACACAGTGACWTTGCTGTGTCAGGAACAGACACACCAACCTGATCTGGATATTGAAGATAAAACCAGCTCTATACAGCAGTCTAGCTTACAGCTCCACCTCCCAAATCCACTGCTGATGTGATTTTTCTTTTTTTCTTTGTTTGAGCAGAGTTTGCACCCATCTAATCCCTGAACA